AGATTGTTACATTTTGTGTGTGAACTTTTTCATGGGTTTTTACAATAGAGGTCTCATACAATATTTGTCCTTTTGTGATTGACTTATTTCACTCAGTGTCAATTTTCAGATTTTTAATATTATTCCTATCTCTCTTGGGCTGACAAGTCTTGACTGCATTCTGGTGCCTTTTCACCCACCTACTTTAATTGCCTCAGTTTCCCATAGTTGGAGATATGCGTAGGTCCAGAGAAGGAGGACTGTCAATACTTCCTCTGGTGGTAAGCGCAGTAGTGTAACATTTGTGTGTGTAGTTAATCGTCTCAGGGGCTATTCTTGTAATACAGTAACATGGTTATGATTCACTGTGAGGAGTCCCTGGGTGGTGGAAACAGTTAACACACTTGGCTGCTAATCGAAGGTTGGAGGTTCAAGTCCACTCAGAAGTGCCACAGAAGAAAGGCCTGGCCTTTCCTGGTTTTTGATTTTTTTTTTTTTTTTTTTTTGGCCAAGCCTCGTTGCAATAGTGCACCTGTGGATTTCCTACTTCAAAAATCAGCCATCGAAAACCCTATGGAACACAGCTCTCCTCTGAAACACATGAATCGCCATGAGCTGGAATTGACTTGAAAAGCAACTGATTTTATATACCTGGCACTGTTTTAGGTGCTTAGGTTTAGTGTGAGATTATGGAGCCTGACACCTTTGAGCTGGAATCCTGGCTCCATCCTAATCTGCTCATTAGTGACTCTGGGCAAGTCACAGAACCCTTTAAGCCTCAGTTTTCTCATTTGTGAAATGGTGATGATAACTCTTAATTCATTGGTCTATGGGGTAATGAAACCTGTAAGATAATATATATAAAGAAAAGAGCTTGGTACAGAGTAGGTGCTTAATAATCTTACCATTATCATAATCACCATTTTTATTAATGTGCTTATTATCATTATTAGAATTCTTATTTTGATATTGAGAGGTGGGAAAAAAGTTACAGGAGAGAATTTATCCACATTTTTTATTGTAACTGATTTTAAAAATATTTTTTTCTAAAATGGTGTAATAAATTCAGATCATCTAGTTGGTTCACTGATTTGACTTTGAATGACCCTCTCTGACCTCTAAAAATCATTACCGTGTTCAAAGAACAAAAGTTTATTGCCAGCAAAAACCATCAAAAGAATGTAGTACAGGCTTCAAAAGGCCATTCTAAAAGCAATAATGGCAGTTCTATTAAAATAAGTGTGCAGGCTCCCGACGTGTTTTTTAGTTAAAGGATATAACATTTGGCTGTGTATATTTCTTACAAAAGTCAGTCATATTTATTTAGTCAATCTTGTATGTGTTTTTTTTTTTTAACTGTGGTTATGTTCTTAGAATGATAAACTATCAAAGATTGAATGGCATCTTTCTTCTGATTGTTTTACTCTCAGCTTGCCTGTGTTTGTAAACCTGAATGCTCTTTTATCATATAATTTTCATTTAAGGACTTGAATAATATGTATATTGGACTCTGATACAAGGTTACAAATATACCTTAAAGCACAAATTTAGTCTAAGGCTATAGTTTTAGTTGTTGAGTTGTTTTCTTGTTTATTATTGTGAGTAAGATTATTAATAATTTGTTGGGTTCACATAAGATTTTACTATCAATAAAGAGAAAATAGTTTTTTAATTAACCTGTGTGTACCATAATAAAACTATTTCTCATAACGTTTCATACTAGAATAACAGATAAGTGATTTTAAAAGCTTTGAGGTTCCACAGTGCTGTATATAAAGGCTAATGAACACTTTACGTTAATATTCTTCATAGGTGCATTATTGCCATGGGGCTTGACAAAAAAACATCTTCATCAAAAACTAGGAAAGAAAATGCTGAGAAAAGAGAGGAATTGAAGGGTAAGGAGAAGCTGAGGAAGGATAAAGAGTACATGATACCAAGAAGGAACACGATCGAGGGGAACAAAATCTCGGCCTCAGCCATTTTTTCAGCTCAAGAAGAAGAAACGGGGGTCAGAGAAGTGAGAACTGCTATGGAAGAAATGGAAAGTAAAGGAAAACCAGGACAAAACGTTTGGGAAGATGACCAGGAAAATACATTCAAATATGGTAATCAATAACACAGATTTCTTTCGTTGTTGCTGCTGCTGTTTTATTTTAAAAATGTGATTACCAAAATTTGCAAAAATATCTACTAACTGTTGTTACTCGATTATGGTCTTAGGCAACTCTGTCACATGTAAGGAATCTCTAACCTCCTTCCTCACTGTTTTGCAGAGTCCTCAGTCTTCTACTGCAGAGGGAGGCCTGACTCAGAGGCACTGAGGGTGCTTGTGTTGGGGGTGGAGGGGAGAGAAAAGCAGGAGGATTAAGAGGCTCTGTGTTTGGCTCCTAACCAAAAGGTTGGCAGTTTGAATCCACCAGCTGCTCCTTGGAAACCCTACGGGGCAATTCCACTCTGTCCTATATATAGGGTTGCTATGTTGAAATCAACTCGACGCCAACTTTTTTTTTTTTTTTTAAATTGGCTTCTGCACAGATCATTTTGACCAAATGGAATTTTAGTTATTTTTTTAGTTTTCGAAAGAATTTGCTTTGCAGAAATTGATGAATTGCTTTCGCATAATACAGGAAAAACCTAAGATTAAATGATGATCGAGTATACCATAACTAAAAACAGTTGACATAGGTTTGGAATCCTGGAACCTACCTCTCTGCCTTCCTTGCTTTCCTGTTTATCCATCTATCTATCTATCTATCTATCTATCTATCTACCTACCTGTCTGTCTATCTATCATCTGTCTATCCATCCATTCTTGTATGTATTCACATAGTCATTCACACACACACACACACACACACACACACACAAACACACACACAGAAAACCTTCTTTAATAGTAGTGATAGCAACAATAATAAAAGTGCCAGTCACTGAGTGCATTGGCAGGCACTTACTACACACTGTCTCATTTTATCCTCACCATCCCATGTGACAGGCATTAGTACAACCTCCATTTGACAGGTTGGGAAACTGAGGCTCAAAAAGCCTAAGTTGTTCAATGTCATAGAAAACAAGTAGAGAGCTAGGATTCATATCTAGGTTTGTCTAATTCCAAAGCCCAAACTTTCAACACTCTACAACATCGTTTTCTGTATAAGCCATCCAGGATGCTACATAGTAGTGTGTCAGGAGGATGTGACTGAGTGTCCCCATAATACCCAGGAGGGAAAGCCTGGATTACAGAAGTAGTAGCCATGAGCTGGAGGGACCTGCAGAAGGGCTGGCATCAAGTAAGAGGCAGATTCCTGGTACCTTCTCTTTACCTTGTTTTTTTGTTGCCCACCCATTGCTGTTGAGTCGATTCCCACTCAGAGCGACCCTATAGGACAGAGTAGAACTGCCCCATAGGGTTTCCAAGGCTGTAAATCTTTATGGAAGAAGACTGCCACATCTTTCCCCCGTGGAGTGGCTGGTGGGTTCGAACTGCTGACCTTTCAGTTAGCAGCTGAACACTTAATCACTGTGCCACCAGAGCTCTTTTTTGTTGTTCACAAGTTTCAGAAATTCAAGAGAATAATTACAGAGATATTAAGCGCTGGACTTTGTTTATTACTAAAATGATGTGACTATTCTAAAAAAGGTTTCACTTGTAACACTTTACCCAGTTCACCTCTCTCCATGATCCCTTCTAATCTTTATTCTTATCTTGGCCTAAGAATTTTAAAATACCTATAGCAACAGCAATAGCAGAGAGATTAACAAATGGGTTGTGTTTGTGTATTTTAACTTTCAAGACATGGAGGTTTATTAAAGCTGGTCAATGGAGGCTCTTCATTTTCTTCATTTTTTTTTTTCTTAAACCAACATGGGTAGTGCTGTGAGTGTCATATTGTGTATCTATAATACAGCTTTTCCCCCAGATCTCTATTCTGTTTTGGCTAGTTAATGGACTTTAAATGCCCAACTCCATTAAAAAATGAAAAAGAAACAGCAGCAGCAAAGCTTCAGCTCTCTGCACAACAGCCACTGATGCTAAGGGCAACAAGAAGCTTGAGTCGAGGTCAGTGAGGGAGGGTTGTGGCTCGATTGATGTTGACCTGGCATTGACTTACTTTCTCATTAGTGGCGATGGTAAACAACAAGCTAATTAAGTTCCCTGGAAGAAGGAAACTGGGGTGGAGGAAACAGAAACAATTATGAAAAGGAATCCAGAAAGCATGCCACTATTCATATTGAAAATATGAGATGACACAAAGGTGGTGTGTTTTGAGCTAATATGCTAACGGACTAACAGGTTAATATTTAGGTGGAATAATGGTGGTGGGTAAAACAAAGTCAGGACAGTCCTAAATTTCATATTTTGAGAGAAAACACAGATGTTCTTGCAACATAGGATGCAGGGACTATTCTTGTGGTTCACTATGTTTCTTCAATTTTCTGCTTTGCTTCTAAATGTAACTATAATTGTATCCTGATTATGGACACTTGTACTTCTCTGATTTTAATCAGGTGCCTCCATTAAAGAGTATTGCTGTCAATAGAGCAAATATTATGAGCATTTTCTCCTATTCCATCAGCAACTCCTTCCACCTCTCAACCACAGTCACTATTTACTACTAAGCCCTGGTATTTTTATGTGTCTACTGTTTCTGGCACTGTTCTAAGCATTTCCAGGGATTATTGCTTTTAAAACTCAACCACAGCTTTGTGAGTCAGGTACTACCCATGTTACAGATGAAGAAACTGAAGCTTAAAGACGTTAAGCAAATTGTCAAGATCACACAGCTATAAAGTGTTTTAACTGGGACTTGGGCACATGACTGCTGAACCCTAAGCCCTCATACTATACCACCATGTACTACTATTGACAGAATTGCACAAATTCACTCATGCTTTGTATGACCCCCTGCTTATTTTGTGAACAGTATCAAATATCTGTAAAGTGGTATATGTGTGTGTCTCTGTGTGTATTCTGCAGCTAACATCCACGCCTACTTTTGTGAAACCTTTCATGATTCCCTAAAACGATTTTTCAATCCTCCCTTGATTCCATCCCACTTATTTGGCACTGCCTCATATAATTAATCATGTGTCCTGTATAAAAATGCATAGCAACAGAGTCTAGTGGTGTTTGGAACTAACATTGCTGAACCTAAACCCATTGCTGTCAAGTCTATACTGACTCACAGTGACCCTATAGTACAGAATTGAACTGTCCCATGGGGTTTCCAAGGAGCAGCTGGTGGATTCAAACTGCCAACCTCTTGGTTAGCAGCCAAGCTCTTAACCACTGTGCCACCAGGGCTCCATGTATAAAAACTACTATAATATGAATACATTATCTCTTGTATACCTACATCTTATTTCCTCAACAATTGGAAACTCCTTGATTGCAGGGGTTGTGTTACTGTAATATCTTTTATTTTGCAATTTTATCTTCTTCCATATAGAAGTTTCTAAATAAGATTTATTGTTGGACAGCCAAGTGGGCCAAATAAGGAACTATCCTATAACCTGGCCTGCAATACTTGGGTCAAAATATTCCTATATTTACTGTGTCCTGTTTGTGTCATGGAATATAAACTGAATTCTTCACCTTGCTTATTTTACAATTTTGTCTTACTGGTATTATTTCACATTTCTTGCTCCCCATACTAACTCTTCCATGAAAACATTCTTGTGATGACTTCTCTTTGTTTGCTTTCTTCCTTATGGTTTTCGATTTTACTTTTCCTTTTACATCTTCCTCATGCATTCTCTGCTTTAAAGCGCTTTCTCCAGATGTTCAGGGTATGAATTTCTAAATTAAGTTTCTTTCATTGTAACAGGGCGGACAGCTCTCAAGTAATTACCCGAGAGGTCCCCACCACTGGAAAAGAAGCCAGAATATCTAATAACTAAAACACCCAAAATAGGAAAACCTTTATTTTCCCTGTAATTTTTATTTTAAAGATAAGTGTTTATGTGCTTAATTGGTTCTGCATGAGATCCTTTTGCTCTCTATACTTGGCATGTTGTCACTTCAAGATTTTTCATCTTTGGTGGAAAGAAAAAGGGGAACAATTAAATATGAAAGGTGAAAAATTATAACCACAAGGGACAGCTGGAGTTTATCTGATGTGACAATTTCCTTTTTCTGCCACAGATTTGTTGCAAGTCTATAGGGAATGCAGTGAATTAATGACTGTGACAGTAATATTCAGTTTTCTAAGAATTTTTATCCTTGGAATACAATTATTTCATTATTGTAGGAATGAATAATGTATGTGATTTTAGTTCTGGTCTAGGTATAGAATCTTTCATAATGCCTTTTCTTGATGTCCACTTGGTTCTCAAAGAATGTGCTATTCAGTGTACTTCTCAGGCCCTTGGACTTGATTAATTGAATTTTTCACTTCACTGTTCATTAACTTGATATCCAAATATTTTGAACATTCTTCATATGAAATATGACCACACTGGGTCTCCAAATTAACTTTCATTATTATAATCCTGTTCTCTTCATTTTTAATTTATTTCTAATTTATTGTTTTCTCTCAAGTTCTTCTCGTCCATTTTTGTCATTGTAGATGATTATGTCCATTTATAAATGAACTTTTATTAGGTTTCAGCCTTGTCATTTGAAGCTTCATTTCTTTTGTGCTTTTGTATATGTAACTGATTGCAATCTTTGATCATTTGCTGCTAGTTTTCCATGTTCACTAATTTGCGTGAAAAATAAGTGAAGAAAGGCCCAGAGAAGAGAGGCTAATGGAGTCAAAGTTCTCATTAAAATGAAATGGGTTAGGTATTAGGAATTCTATTTTCATTCTCATACTGGAGATTTTCTTTTATCAGAATATGAAGAAGATTTTGAAGTAGATGAGGAGAAACAAGATGAGAAAGCTAATGAAGAAGGACAGGCTGATGATCAAATGAATGGAATGACAAAGTCATCCTCAGATGATGAAAAAGATAATTTAGACCCTGAAAAGGAGAGTAAAACCTCATCACAGAAGGCACCAGATGCAGATGACAATGTGAAAGATGAAAGCGATGGATGCTCCTACAGTGAATTGGAAGAGGAAAAACAAGGCACGTTGTTTAGCTTCTCATATGACATAGTCTGTTTAGTGGGTGTGCTTACTGCTTTTCACTATATTTAATGGGATAATCCATTGTTGAAGGGAATGTTTAGGGCAGGGTTCCCTAACCAGAGAGTGCTGATCAATCAGCCTTCCACAGGTATCCTAGTACTGAAATCACTTGTTATTCCCTTTTGTCTTTCTCTGGTTTCCTGGGACTTTTCAACAGGGCGTCAGTAGAGCTTGTAATGATACTCCATTTACTTAAAAAGGTGCCATGTTGTTTTATCCGAAATGTTTATTTTCATCATTTTTTTGGCTTTGGAAAAATGAAAAGTATATCCTAATCAGTTAGAAGTTGGAGATCTCTGTCTTAAGTTAATTTTTTTTTTTTTCAGTTACCTTGAACACAGCAAGCTGCCGTGTTAGTTACATGGAAAGATTATTTCTCTTAACAAAGGTGTCTTCCTCACAATTTTCAAGTCTAAAATGGCACTGAATATTCACAGAAAAAAGCAAAGCTTTATAGGGAGAAAGAAACCCTCATCATCTGAGACATACCTTGAATTTTTAAGACGTTAATTTACTAAATTCTGTCCAGTGAAAGGAGGAAACCATTTCCTGCTCTGTCCCATCAGAGAGTTTGGCCAAATAGTTCTTAATTAAACAAGCATCTCTCCTGGTGCATCCTGGGCATTTATCAGTAATGAAAATAGATGCTTCTTATATTTATGTATGTGTATGTCTTTGCAGTTTGTTTCTGACTAGATTATGAGGTCATACGGGAGCGGATTATTCAATAAGCAAGGTAAGCAGATCAAAGATTTGATGAAGCCCGTGTGAAATTGTTCACTACAGATTAGTTGGAGACACATGCTTACCTTGCTTACTGGGTCATTTGCCCCTGTCAAGGATTGTAAGTTTAAAAAAAGGTTTGATTCTATAAGAAGGTGCTCTGGGATTGGGGGAGAGACAGGTGCCAGCCATACCTAAAAGCAGAATCTTTTTTTTTTTCCTTTTGGATTTTTTTTTAAATTGTACTTTAGATGAAGGTTTACAGAACAAGTAGTTTCTCATTAAACAGTCAGTACACATATTGTTTTATGACATTGGTTAACAACCCCACGACATGTCAACACTTTCCCTTCTTGACCTTCCCTATTATCAGCTTTCCTGTCCCCTCCTGCCTTCTAATCCTTGTCCCTGGGCTGTTATACCCCATTAGTCTCATTTTGTTTTATGGGCCTGTCTAATCTGTGGCTGAAGGGTGAACCTCAGGAGTGACTTCATTACTGAGCTAAAAGGGTGTCCGGGGGCCATACTCTCAGGGTTTCTCCAGTCTCTGTCAGGCCAGTAAGTCTGGTCTTTTTCTGTGAGTTAGAATTTTGTTCTACATTTTTCTCCAGCTCTGTCCATGACCCTCTGTTGTGATCCCTGTCAGAGCAGTCAGTGGTGGTAGCCGGGCACCATCTGGTTGTACTGGACTCAGTTTGATGAAGGCCGTGGTAGTTGTGGTCCATTAGTCCTTTGGACTAATCTCTCCCTTGTGTCTTATTTTCTTCATTCTCCCTTGCTCCCAAAGGAGTGAGACCAGTGGAGTATCTTAGATGGCTGCTTACAGGCTTTTAAGACCCCACAAGCTACTCGCGAAGGTAGAATGTAGAACATTTTCTTTATAAACTGTATTATGCCAATTGAGCTAGATGGTCCCCGAGACCATGGTCCCCACAGCCCTCTGCCCAGCAATTCAGTCCCTCAGGGAGTTTGGATGAGTCTAGGGAGTTTCCATGACCTTTCCTTGTACAAGTTGTGCTGTTTTCCCCAGTATTGTGTACTGTCTTGCCCTTCACCAAAGTTATCACTAATCTATTGTCTATTTAGTATTTCTCCCCAATCCCTCCCATCCCTCGTAACCATCAAAGATTATTTATTTTTGTGTGTAAACCTTTTAATGAGTTTTTACAGTAGTGGTCTCATACAATATTTGCCCTTTTGTGATTGACTTATTTCTCTCAGCATAATATCCTCCAGTTTCATCCGTGTTATGAGGTGCTTCACAGGTTCATCATTGTTCTTTATCATTGCATAATACTCCATTGTGTGAACATACCATAGTTTGTTTATCCATTCGTCTGTTGATGGACATCTAGGTTGTTTACATCTTTTTGCTACTGTGAACAATGCTGCAGTAAACATGGATGTGCATATGTCTATTCATGTGACGGCTCTTCTTTCTCTAGGATATAGTCCTAGGAGTGGGATTGCTGGATCATAGGGTATTTCTATTTCTAGCTTTCTAAGGAAGCACCATATCGTTTTCCAAAATGGTTGTATCATTTTGCATTCCCACTGGCACTGCATTAGAGTTCCCCACAGCCTCTCTAACATTTGTTATTTCCAGTTTTATTGATTCATACCAGTAATGCCAGGGTGAGATGGTATCTCACTGTGGTTTTGATTTGCATTTCTCTAATGGCTAGTGATCACAAGCATTTCCTCATGTGTCTTTTGGCCACTTGAATGTCTTCTTTGGTGAAGTGTCTGTTCATTTCCTTTACCTTTTTTTTAAAATTGGGTTATTTGTCTTTTTGTTGTAGAAGTGTTGGATTTTCTTGTAGATTTTAGAGATTAGACCTTTGTCTGACTTGTACTGTCCAAAATTTTTTCCCAGTCTGTAGGTTCTCTTTTTACTCTTTTGGTGAAGTCTTTTGATGAGCATAAGTATTTAATTTTCAGAATATCCCAGCTATCTAGCTTATCTTCTGGTGTTTGTATATCAGTTATTGTTTGTATCCTGCTAATGCTGTATATTAGGGCCTCTAGTGTTGATCCAATTTTTGTTCTATGAACTTTGTAGTTTTTGGATTTATACTTAGGTCTTTGATCCATTTCACATTAGTTTTTGTATATGGTGTGAGATATGGGTCCTGTTTCATTTTTTTGCCGATGGATATCCAGTTTTGCCAGCACCGTTTATTAAAGACTGTCTGTTCCCCATTTGATGGACTTCAGGCCCTTGTGGAAGATCAGGTGACCGTAGGTGGATGGATTTACATCTGCGTTCTCAATTCTGTTCCATTGGTCAATGTGTCTGTCATTGTACCAGTACCAGGCTGTTTTGACTACAGTAGCTGTATAGTAGGTTCTGAGGTCAGGTGGTGCGAGTCCTCCTACTTTATTCTTCTTGTTCAGTAGTGCTTTACTTATCCAGGTCCTCTTCCCTTTCTAAGTAAAGTTATGATTAGTTTTTCCATCTCTTTAAAGAATGTTGTTGGTATCTGGATCGGGATTGCATTGTATTTGTAAATTGCTTTGGGTAGGATTGTCATTTTCACAATGTTGAGTCTGCCTATCCGTGAGCATGGTATGTTTTTCCGTTTATGTAGATCCCTTTGAGTTTCTTGCAGTAGTGTTTTGTAGTTTTCTTTGTATAGGTCTTTTACATCCTTGGTTAGATTTAATCCTAAGTAGTTTTTTTTTTTAGGGACTATTATAAATGATACTGTTTTCCTGATTTCCTTTTCATCATTGTCTTTATTGGTGTATAGGAATCCAACTGATTTTTGTAGGTTTATCTTGTATCTTGCTATCTGCTGAATCTTATTCTATTAGTTCCAGTTGTTTTCTGATGGAGTCTTTAGGGTTTTCTATGTATAGTATCATATCATCCACAAGTAGGGACAGTTTAACTTCTTCGTTACCAATTTGGATGCCTTCTATTTCTTTTTCTTGCCTTATTGCTCTAGCTAGGACTTCCAGCACAAAGATAAATAGGAGTTGTGATAAAGGACATCCTTGTCTTGTTCCTGTTCTCAAGGGAAATGTTTTCAGCCTCTCTCCATTAAGAATGATGTTGGCCGTTGATTTTGTATAGTTTCCCTTTATTATGTTGAGAAATTCCCTTTCTATACCTATTTTATTGAGAGTTTTTATCAGGAATGGGTGTTAGACTTTGTTGAATGCCTTTTCTGTGTCAATTGAGAGGATCAAGTGATTATTTTCTTTCCTTTTATTTATGTGGTGGATTATGTTGATTGATTTTCTAATGTTGATCCACCCTTGCATACCTGGTATGAATCCTGCTTGTTTATGGTGTATTATTTTTTTTTATATGATGCTGAATTCTGTTGGATAGAATTTTGTTGAGAATTTTTGCATCTATATTCATGAAAGATATGCGTCTGTAATTTTCTTTTTCTGTGGTGTCTTTGTCTGGTTTTGGTATCAGGATTATGCTGGCTTCATAAAATGAATTTGGAAGTGTTGCTTCCTTTTCTATGTTCTGAAATAGTTTGAGTAGTACTGGTATAAACTCTTCTCTGAATGTTTGATAGAATTCTCCAGTGAAGCTATCTGGGCCAGGGCTTTTTTTGGGGGGGAGTTTTTTTTATTACCTTTTCAATCTCTTCTATTGTTATGGGTCTGTTCAAATTTTCAATATCGTTTTGTGTTAGTTTGGGTAGGTAATGTGCTTCTAGAAATTTATCTATTTCCTCTAGGTTTTCAAATTTGTTGGAGTATAATTTTTCATAATACTCTGTTATGATCCTTTTTATTTCCTTTGAGTCTGTTGTAATGTCCTCCATTTCATTTCTTATTTGGGTTATTTGCATCCTCTCCTGTCTTTCTTTTGTCAGTTTGTCCAGTGGTTTGTTGATTTTGTTGATCCTTTCTAAGAACCAACTTTTGTTTTTATTGATTTTTTCTATTGTTTTTCTATTCTCTATTTCATTAATTTCTGCTCTGATCTTTATTATTTCCTTTCTTCTGGTGGCTGTGGGCTCTTCTTTTTCTACTCTTCTCTTTCTATTTGTTCGAGTTGTGTAGTCAATGTTTTGATTTTATCCCTTCTTTTTTGATGTGTGCATCTGTTGCTATAAATTGTCCTCTGAGGACTGCCTTTGCTGTGTCCCAAATGTTTTAGTATGATGTGTTTTCATTCTAGGAATTTTTTGATTCCATCTCTGATTTCTTCTATTACCCAGTGGTTTGTAAGCAGGGTATTATTCA